CGCTAATGTTCGTTGGGTTGCAAATTATTTAAACGTAAACATTGACGCTGGCCGCTAACAGATATTTTTTTTACAATTAATGGGAAACAAAGAAAATAAATTAAAATAAATGGTAAGTGATTGTTTAGTTTTTAGTTTAAGCAGTTTAATAATTGTCTTATACCTTTTAATTGTTTTCGGTAGAGTTCTTGACCGTGAAAGCTTCTTGATATCGTTGATTCTTTATTTTAGGTTATGTTGATCTATCTGGGGGTTTATGTGTGAGCGGCCTCCTTGGATGGGATACAAGTCACGAACGTCGCCAGTAGCTGCTACGTCACTCATCGGTTGCCATGGTTTTATTTTCTTACATACACAGGTATTTTTTTCTTACTTTTCGATTTAAAACTCGCGTTTCACTTTGTTTAGATTAAATTTTATTTCAGACGTCTAATTACAACTTATTCTTACTTTTAAGGTTGATTCTGTGTGTATATTTGTTAAAATAGATTAAAAAAATTCAAAATGTTTCAGGACAAAGAAAAAGAAACGTAGTTTCCCTTTGGAAATTCAATTCACCACACCTTTTTGTTTTTTCAACAAAACCCCTTGGTAACCAAAATTAGATTCAAATCTTTCATCAAGTTATCTATTGAAGAAATTTTGACCAATAGGAGACTTAAATAAATCACAAGTTGGTGAATTTTAGGTGAGTATATTTAAAATACGTTTTCAAATATTTCGAGAATCAAATGTAAATAATTTATTACAATTTTTTTAATAGATTAGTTGCCAATTTTTTATTAATTTTGAATTTTATTGTATAACTTTTTTGTGTTGGCACATATGTCAAAAATTATTAATTATGGCTGACAGAAGTGTTTCCTGTTTGATATACAGGGTGTTTTTTATACAAGAGTAAAAATTAAAAAATGCCTCATAAACATTCTGTTATTTTCGATAGTAAATTAATGATTGGGGTTGTGTATAAATTAATAATAATATAAAATTTATCCACATATGCACACACCCCATATCAATATATTTTTATATATCCCTGTTATAAACTGTAATAGTCTTTTGAGATAATAGTAATAGTAATAAAATATAAAAAATATAAACAGATAAAAATTAACAATACTTTTATTCTAATCTGAGTCGTCTATGTCATCATCAGATTCATCAGTATAGAGCATTCAATATAAAAACCGATGCACGTCAGATATGACGTCAGTGACAGTCATTGGTACCACACACACTAATAAAAATAATTCAATTTTATTTTGCAAATAAATGAATAAATTTAGACGCATGGAGTTCATTTTTATAAAATTGCATATTAAAAATGTATTTTTTATCATATCACAGTAGTAAATGTACTGTAGGTAGATTATTAACGGAATACTTTCTAGTGAACTTCATAATAAAAGTTGGCATCAAATGTGTCAGCTTTCAATTTTAATACATTGTTGTCAATTGTTATCTGTTTTGTATTATTTTGCATCGATCGATTTCTTTTCAACAAATTATTTGTATTTTAGATTAAATTATTAACAAACTGTTCTTTTCAGAACAAATTTATTAGGAATTTAATAGTGGTGTTCGTTTATTGTGTATTTTTTCATTGAAAAATGCCAAAACAATTAAATAGTCGCTGCAAGGAACTAGTGGCTTCTCTAATTAATTATTTTGAAAAAGAACGTGATAATAATGGGCCATTGTTACCTTTAACAGCTGTAAGAGAAGTGAGTTGATTAATAATGTATCACCATCAAATTAATATAATTATATTGTTTCAGCGTGTCGCAGAAGCACTTAATCTCAATTTTTCTACTGTTAGTTCTATTTCATAAGCTGTAAAGAACAGTGAAGTTCTAAAGTCACCACCAAAAAAGCGACCTAGACAAAAAAGTTACCAACACAAGAATTCTGAATACCAGTGCTATTCGAGATGTTATTTATAGCATGTACGAGTCTAGTAAGTGTATATGTATATAAATTATTATTAAACAATTACAAATTAATGTATGATTTCAGAGGAGCATGTAAGTTTAGATTCTTTGTTGGTGAAACTTAATGAGAAGGAGTTGTTCAATGGATGTCGCACATCATTACATACCTTATTAGAAATGGGTTTCAAATGACAGAAAGATGAACCAAGGCGAGGTCTTATGGAACTTCCAGATATTGCCGTGAAACGGGCAGAATTTTTAAGAAAATATACCAAAGAGAAGGAAGCAAATTTGTACCAGTTTTTTTTATTGATGACATTTGGATTTTCCAAAATGGCACCATAAACCGTTCTTGACAAGACAGCAATAAAAGAAGTGTAAAAAGTACAAAAGTTGATTGTAAGTGTGGTTAACGAATCAGAACATACCTTATTCAGTCACCATGTTTAAGGCTGAACTTTTGAAATCTACTTTTCTGTATTTTTTAAAGGATTTTATTTTTTTAGTAATAAACCACCAAAAATATATGTAGCTGATATGCTGGCTGAACAGTATTGACATAAGGTGTTACGTCTTCCTCTTTACCATTGTATTTTTAATCCAATAGAACTGATTTGGGGTACTTCAAAACAATATTATAACAGGCACATTGGTCGGGATGAAAAGACACAAAGAGATTGTATAGACATGTGGTCTGAAGCACTTCAAACCATTACCACACAAATGTGGGCAAACAGTGTAAGACACACTGAAAAAGAAATTTTTAAATAGTGTGAAAGAGCATATAGTGGACCGATTGGAAATTGCTACCATTATTATAACACCAAATAGAGATGATTCTGATTTTAGTTCTGATTATTCGGACTGATTTTAGCTTAAATATTATTTATGTTTTAAAATGTCATGCGTTGTTAATTTTATTACCTAACTGTTCTAATTATTGTTACTTCTTTTAAATATGGATGTTTATAAACTAACTGAACATAATTATTTTTTATTGTAAATTAAATCAAGCCTAAATAAAATTTGTTTGTTTTTTCATCCTTAACCTAACCTTTTTTTGTCATTTTAAACCTCTTGTGCAAAATTTATTACTATTAAATTCAGCGTTTTTTTAAAACTTCAATTTAAACATTATCAATGACCTTCATAGGCTTTTATATAGAATTAATTATACATTTAAAATTAATTGTTCCTAATACCAGTCAAAAAAACATAACCTCATAGTTTTAAAAATTCCTACATTCTTAGACTATTTTGAAGATTGGGCAACACTGCAAGCAAGGCTATGACTTCCCAACTGATTGATGACGTGTATCGGTTTTTATATTGAATGTTCTATAGTATCTTTGCCTCCACAACAACGGGTTCGTTGGTAATTTCAATGAAGTTTTCAAGATTCCACATATTCTGCTCTTCTTTCACTACATGTTCGATACATTTTATCCACGACTGTGAGGTCACATTGCTGACGGCACTATTTTAAGTAGATTTTTACGTTTTAATTTGAACGTAACATTGTTCCTTGCTACTTCATTTTTTATTTGAGCCCATACAAGTACAATTAGGTTTAACTCACAATGGTAGTGTGGCAATCGAACTACAATTACTCGTCGTTCTCGCGTCATTTTATCTATACATATTTGATATATTTATCTTTATAACACTGTGCTAATTTTAGTAACTCGATTTTTAAAATTGGTTCATTAGTAAGCCAATCTGCAATCTGGGCTTTTCTCAATTTGGTGGTTGGTAACTGTTCTACAAGCCGTCTGTGATATGGAGCGTTATCCATAACAATAACAGATCCTGGTTCGATTTTTAGAAGAGTATCTGAAAACCATTTTTCATAATGTTCTGCATCCATTTCCTCATGATAATCTCCAGTTTTTTCAGAAACAAATGCGTTTAAACCTTCTTTAACAAATCCTGGGTCGCTACCAATATGGGTAATAATGAGTTTTCACTTTCCAGATGGGGCTTTTAAACCTGTGGATAAACAATCTACAATCTACAATGTTTGTTTTTTACATTTAAATCCTGCCAAATTTTTGTCGCAGTATGTCCTTCATTTACCCAGATTTCATATGTATAATATATTTTTTTGTCATCTCTTCGAAACATGCTACTGTTTTCAGATATTATCTGCACCATAAAATTATTTCCTCTTTTTCAATAAGGGTACTATTCCTCTTTCTCTTTAAATATCTGAAGTTCATTTCACGCAAAGTACGTAACAAAACACGTCTTGATATTTTTGCGAGATTTTCATTAGATTGAAGAGAAGAAGCAATTTTCTATAAATTTTCTTTACAACGTGAGTCACTAACTACAATAATTGTGGTATTCTACTATGAGAAAAAACGAAAAAATTTATATTTTTTGGCGGGTTGTTTACCAACAAGTAAAACTTTGACAGTGTTAGTATTACTATATAGAGTGAGATATATTTAAACTTAATAGTTATCCTGGATTTAAAAAGAAATTGAGCGGCATATAGAACGACAAGTTTGAACAGTTTTACAGACTTTATTAAATCTGGAGACATCAAAAGTTGAGCCTAAGACGAGACGCTCAGATAGCTGATATTTTTTTAAATATAGAATATGTTGGAAAAATTATTATATCCGATTGTCGATTGTCATATAACGTTCCAAGAAATTAAGACAAGATTTGACATTGAATCGATAACAGCGCAAACAATCGTGCATAAACAATTTGTCTACGAACGCGATATTCGTGTTGGGTGTCCCACTTAGTTCAATTTTTATGAACCTTGGTAGAGCGCGTTGTTGAACGAAAATCTAGGTTAAGGTAAATCACGGGAACTTAGAGATGTACACTAAATTTACGGATTTGTTACTGCCAACTCTAAATTTCTGTGTAATACTGAACCAGCTCAACTCTAGAGCAGTTATACCCGATTTTCGTTCTTCATTCTCTTAGTTTAACAGCTTTAAGGCACCTTTGAACCTAACAGGATAACTTGGTTAAAGCTAGTTTGAAAAGTAGGCCATTCTATAAAATGGCTGATAAATGTATTAAAAAAAGAATCAAAAAATCTTTTAACGGATCTGTACTGTGGCTTATTTCAGGCAAATTTTATAGTTATTAAGTGCAAGTGAATTTCCCTCTGAAGATAGTTGTATATTTTGTATTCTATTGAAGCTTATTAAGTAGATATTAATTATAATAATAATTCGAAAAGCAAATAAAAAAAATGTACAAAACTATGATAAGTCAAATGATTGAAGTAGAAATTATTGCACAGTCTAGTATCAAATATAACAAGTGGACAATTGGCGACTTATTCTATAACGAGGCAACGAGGAAGATGTTCTCTAAGGTAGTCAAACAGTTCTCTTGATGCCCCTGGACAATTTGTTAATTCTAATTCTCTCATATGCCGCAACTGAATGAGACTAGACAGGCCACTCGACGTCAACAATGGACACCCTGAAAAGAATGAAAGTTTTCTTTAATCTACAAATGATATTCTAAGAACCAATATCATGTAGTAATATTGGAGGAAGGAATCTTTTAACGAAAGGTTTTATTGTCAAAATTATAAAGTTGACAATTCAATTAAAATATAAAAGTCACGTTAACATTAACAATAATCTAAAAACAAAAACAACTCATAACTCATTTGTTAAGCCCCGGCTCGCATGCGATCCGCCACAATCACATGGACATCGATTATTTATTTTTTCACTGACCTGCTAATGACAGTATTTGTAGGTTGCGCATCCCACACAAATGTTGCAGTCCAAAATCTCTAATTTGGGAACACCAACGTAAATAAAGGGAAGATAACGACAACATTGTTGAAATATAACCAATTCCTATATCTGTTATATGTACACATCTACAATAAAAGACAAAAAGGTATTAAGAATAGGTAATAATATTTTGTAAATACGATGATGATTTCTGTAGATTTTATGTATTACACATAATAATGTTTGACACATTTATATTAAATATTTACCTATCTAGGGTTAGTTCTTCTAACTGGTTAAGGTCGCATGCTATGTATTCCAAGGCAGCATCAGTAATTCTAGGACACCAGGACAGATCTAAAGATCTTAGTTTTTGTAGATTTTCTGCTATTAATTCTACACCGTCGTCTGTAATTTTACTACAGCCTGATAAGCTCAAAATTGTTAAATTCGGAAGTGAATGCACTGAAAAAGATAAAATGATTTTCTATTAAATTTTTATTGTTAATATATTGGCTAACTATTAAAAATAAGCGTAATCAAATAATCATCATGTTCATGATTACTACTTTCAAAAGTCACCGCTAGATGGCGCAATCGGTCAGTATTGGAAATTGAAATTTGGATAAGTGGTTTGCGACTCGGCTAATCGATTTAAGACAGCGATCTCATCGTTTACGTGTACGGTCTGTAGACGTAGGGCCTCTGAGCCGAATTCGGATCACACTTTGTTTATATCCTGAAATATTTTGAAAGTTTGGCAAGCCTGGAGCGAGCTGTAGTGTTGCTGTTGGCAAACAAATTTTTACACACGAAAGGGACCGAGCCTAAACCGAAACTAAAGGCTAATGGTAAGATTTTAGAGTATTATTCTGCAAGTAAAGTAATCAGTTTTTGATAATGAAGATATTTTTATTTAATTTTAGGGAAGCTACTCGTAGAAAATGTCTCAGTAGACTAGAAGAGTCTTTAATGTCTCAATAGTTTAAACAAATTCTTCATTACCCCCGCCAGGAAGATTGTTGCGCATGCGCAGTAGTACAAACGTACGTGATGCAAACGTTGTTACGACATGCGTTGATGCGAACGAAGATTAGATTAGTAGGGTATATGAAAAGTTCTAAAACAATTAAACGAGGAAAGATAAAAAGTAAGAAAACGATGAAACAAGGCGAACTTCTCGTATGCCCTCCTGCCCTAACCTTCTTTCACGTAAACGCATGTCGCAAAGACGTTTGCATCTCGTACGTTTGTACTACTGCGCATGCGAAACAATCTTAGTGGTGAGGGTAATGAAGAATTTGTTTAAACTATTAATACGTTAAAGACTATTCCAGTTTACGTGTAGCTTTTCTAAAAATAACTAAATATGTCTTCATTGTCAAAAACTGATTACTTGACTCTCTTGAATCTAAATGAAATTAACGTTTTATCACCACAGGAAATGGCGCAGGATTACGAAGAATTATTTAGAGAATGGTATCACTTAATATTAAATGAAAAGGACTTTAATTTACTTGCTTGTGCTCCAAATCTTAAATACTATTCTATTTGTCGATGTCATCTAATAGCAGACGACGGTAGTACAGTACACGCTTTAATACATTTTACTAATGGATGTACAATGTTTTCCTACAAGAAAAAACTACAACGCACTGGTACACGACTTCATTCAAAAACAACTTTCAAGAAAATAATTTGCTTGGACAATGTTGTTGGTGTCTTCAGATACATTACGTATGCTGATGGAGAAAAGCTGTTTGGAAGGAACGGAGATGGTATTGGAGGTACACCTCATTCACTTTACGATAGAAAGAATAGTATTCAAACAAGAATGGTTCATTCGCGAAGAAAACAGTGTTGCTTAGTACGCATGGATATTTCAGAATTAGCATCTGAGGATGACAAACATTTAAAAAATACACATATGAACAAGAACTTCATGATAAATCCACATGTAGGTGTGATAGAGGTGCCGAAGTATTAAGGGAAGAAGCCAACGAGAAACGAAGACAATTTTATAAGACAGAACGGCGAATGAAAATTAGAAAGAATTACAATGAAAAACAAATTAAGGAAAAGAAATTTATATTACAAATTTACTGAAAATGTGTCTAAATAAAAAAGTTGAATTTCAAAGAGAAAGAATTTTAAAACTTATTGAGTTACTGTAAATACTTAATATTGTTTGTGTCAAAATAGAATTTAAAAACAAAAAATTTTTTTTTTTCATTGTCCAATGTCGACTTTTACCCTATTACAAATAACTTATCTCCATTTAAAGTATTAGCAATATTTGTCCAATCTTTACTTAAATGTCCACACTAGCACTCTACTGTCCAGAGGGAAATACACGTTTACCATTTAAAAAGTATTAATGCCCAAGATGCTTCTTCACAACGCCGTTTTTCTCGTTTGAATTGGACCAATAGCAACGAATATACAGACTTAGAATCCTTTTGACATTGCCCATGAGCATGGTTTTTTTCTTTAATGTTAATCTACGTCACGTCTTCTTCACAACGCCTTCCTGTTTGAATCGGACCAATAGTACATTGCCACTGAGAATGATTTTTTCTTTAATATTAATCTACGTTACGTTCTCTTCACAACGCCGTTTTTTCTGTTTGAATCGGACCAATAGCAACAAAGATATAGACTTAGGACCTTTTCACATTGTCACTGCACATATTTTTTATTTCTATAACATTAACCTATTCGCCTCTGGAGGAAATTTGTAGAAGGTAGGATATTGTTCAGTGTTGCCAAGAGTAACGAAATTTCGCCACGCCCTTGGATTTTTAGCCTTTGAAAAAGTGAACAAGATCTTTTTTTTAGTATCAAAATTTGTGTCTAGTTTAATTTTAATTCATGATTTTTTTATAAAACCGATTTATTAGATTGATTTTTTTTTAAATATCAGTTCATTTATTAATTTTGCTTTAAAATCAGTTCATCATTTGGCAACATTGGCGTTCCTGTTCACTGTTTATATTTTAATTTGTATCAAATATAATTCGAAGTTTCTCTTACTTGTGAGCTTTCAATTTTTGTATTTCTTATAGTGTGTGATAGTGTTTATATTAAAAATGAAATTTGCGAAAAAGCCCCCAACAAATTTCAACCTATATTAGTAGAGGAGACCGTAGGAAGTCGACCCTCACCCATCTGATAACCAGATGAGGCATATTTTTTTATGAAATTTTATTGATTTAATAACACGCTTATGGGAACTTGCCATTCGAGAAGTGTTCATGGCTATTTTTAATTAAATAAATTTTATTCAATTTTTTTATAACCTTCACTTTTTTGATAACCGAACATGATAAATATTATATTTATGACGAAAGCATGAAAACTAAACTTAAATTAACACTAAATTAAACTCAAAAGCACTATTATAATAAGAATATTATCTAAAAATATCCCGTCCAAAACAAACGTATGTAAATAAACAAACATCCTACTTATTATAGGTGACAAATGACAGACACGCGAAAATTAATTTAAATCGCGAATAAGCGTTCACGTAAACAATCGCTTAACCGAGTCGCAAACCACTTATCCAAGTTTCAATTTCCAAAACTGACAGCTAGCGCCAGCTAGAGGCGACTTTTGGAAGTAGTGAGTAGGAAGCACCCTTGTGTATCTACTTTCATGTAGCTGTTTAAAGGTCCCCAATGAAAGTTACAAAAGCAGTCGATAGATGCTAGTATTATTGGCCAGTAAACTGAATAATAAATAAATCTTGACTTTGAATAGCATAATCATCATTTTTCTATAGCTCAGTATACCTTGAAGAATATTTATAGTTCTTCCATTATCAATTGCAGAACATAAAAACTCGTTCGGAACCTTTACCGACAATTTTGTTTGATCTGCCATAGGCGTAGATACCTACCTCATTTTATAAATTTATTTTATAAATACTTTTAATATATATCATATGCAAGAAAGTACTCGTTAAATGGAAATCGAATGATTATAAATTGGACGTTATTATACGCCTTGATTTAGACAGATGCACTTAATTGTAGTCTTACTTGGACTTAAAAAAAATCATTATAGCTCGTTAACTTGCTACAACTGAATATTAAATTATAAAACGTAAAAAAGCGAGTAAAGTGTACCTGTCTGTAAGGGCGTTTGGTTTAAACAGGGTACCAGACGTGAACTGAGCCGTTTTTGTACTCCATTCGTTTTTTTTTCTGGAAAACGAAATTTCAAAGCAAAAACCATAAAGGAAAATAAATTCTTTGCAAATAAAACAAAAGAAAAAAAATTCAATTCTAAAGTATCTTTATAAATAATCATGGCAATGTGAATTCTTTGAACTAGAGTAATCATTTGGTTGAATTATGATGGGTTGTAAAGAGGGTAATACTACATACTCATCTTCTTCTTTAATTACATGTTCGACGCAGTTTTTTTCCAAAGCTCTTGGCGGTCTGCTGCTAGAACTTTCTTTACAAGTTCTACAACATCTTTACTCATTTCTGGAGACTGATTACATTTTCGTAATTCTGATTTTACGTTTGCCCATATTAACTCTATAGGGTTAAATATGCAATAGTAAGGAGGTAGTCTGAGAAAAGTATGACCCTGTTCTTTGCACAGCTTGTCAATATAATAAATTTTTTCCAACTTCATGCCTTTAATAACAGTAAGCAATTCTTTGTTTGTTGGGCCTTTTTTACGATCACTGGCAGGAATAGGAATATTTTTTTCAGACATAAACGCTACAATTTGAGCTTTGTTACTGCTACTATTTGGTATTTTAAGGAGTTGCCGTGAGTGGTAGGATGCGTTGTTCATAACGATTACTGACTGGTGGAATGTTAGGTAAGAGCTGTTCATTAAACCATTTTTCAAATAATTCTGCTGTCATATCTTCATGATAATCAGCTGCATAGTTTTTAGTTTGTTTAACAGATAATAATAAAGCATTAGGCACGAAACCGTCTTTGCTTCCAGCGTGTAATATTATAATACGTTTCCCTTTAGAACATGGCCCATTCAAACAGCAATTTTTACTACTGTTAACCCAACCGAAATTTACTACATCGTGACTGTCAAACCATGTTTCATCTAGATAAATTATGTGTCTATTAGAACTTCTGTACTCTTTTATCTGACGCAAATAATCTTGTCGCCATTGAACTATCCTTGACGATTCGGTGATTGCCATCCGTTTATTAATTTTTTTGTGTTTAAAACCACATGCTGACAAAACTTGACGCAATGTTTCCAAACTGGTATAAGTGTATCCTGGAAAATCTGCTACCTTTTGCTGTATTACTTCCAATGTTGGAACCCTGTTCTCCTTATATAAACTATAAATTGCCCTTCGTATAAAATCTTGGGTAGTTCTGTCAACTGATTTCAGTTTTTCTTTACATGTTTTTCGGTTTTATGAATAATCCACAGCAACCCCTTTCGTGACTACCGGATAAACGGAAAATTTATTTACTTTAGTTAATTCAGCAATTCTTATTATGATCGCATTATCAGACTGCTGAATATTTTCCTTTTTTAAACATTCGAATATATTTAAAATAACTTGTTGTGTTTGTATATCTAAATCCTTATTGTTAAAGTCATACCTGTCTTTAATCTCACTACATTGTGCAATTTCATTTTCTTCATTCGCCCACGGTCTAAAAAACGTCATATTTATATTTATTAAAAGAAATTTAAATTAAACCAACCACACATACAAAACACACCGCACGACAGTACTCCACTGATATCGCAGACTCTCTTCCAGGAATATTTTCGAACACTCCTCCCCTTCGTAAACCTTCGGCCAATACAGTGCATTTAAGTTTACGATTCGATGTTTTCATTGGTTAACAACGGAGATGATGGATTTTGACACATATATATCAAGTACACGTTGACTGACCGTTCCTTTAATATTTACCGCATTGTATAAGGGGAGTAAACATTATTTTTCGTTTCTAAATTTGGCATGAGTACCGTGCGTATATATTAAATATTGATGATTCCTCACATAACTGTGTTCTGCAATTGATATTGGAAGGAATATAACAATTTTTGTTTTTAACTTACCTATATTTACAACCCCGTGATTAGTAATTTCCCAACAAGAATGTAACCTGAGTACATTGAGTGAATTGCTTTGTTTGGGTGAAAAGTAACCTAAAGCTGCATCGGTAACGTGGTAAGCTTGTAAGGAAAACTCGTAGAGAGCCGGTAATAACTGTGCAACTGCTCCAACGGCCTCGTCCGCCACGTTGATGCAGTCGGTAAGCGAAAGTGAGACTATTCTTGGATTCAAGCAGGCCCACAGTCCTGCTTCCGTAATCTCATTGCATCCTGCCAGTTCTAACTCGTAGAGTGCCTGAAATTATTTATTTATTTAAATAGGTTAATACTGAAATACATACAGTATTAAAAGTGATAAAGAGTGTATGTTGCACCAAAACGAGTGTCAAAATTTTAAAATGAACCATTATTCCTTTTTCCGATTATTATTATGTACTTAATAAAGCATGTCAGTAAAAGAGGGATTGGATGATATTAAAAGTAAAGCGCTGCAGCGGTTCGTAAGAAAATATATGAGAAATATTTTTTAATTAAAGATTCTTATCATTCTGCTGGAAACCAAAGATACAAAAGAACTTTGCATATATTAGAATATTTTAACGAAAATCATAGTAAAGAATAAACTGAACTTTGTCGTAGACTCGTTAAAACCATATGAGGTCGTGCACGAGCTAAAAGTTTAGTATCTATACCTATTTTAGTGATCAATGCAAACAGTAATACTATATACTAAACCTAATATAAAATATAATCACATACAAGAACAATTTTAATAAAAGGAATAATTTAAATACACTAAATAACGCAAATGTACATAAAAACCTAACATAAAATATAAATCGTATTCAAAAAACAATTTTATTACTAGTAATAATTTAAATTGGAGCAGTGGCGTGCCGTGACATTTTTGGAAGGGGAGGCGATTGTATAAAAATACAGCAGGCCAGTAAGCACAGCGCCGCAGACGAAAATTTTTCGCGGCCCTTTCACCATTTTGTCAAAATCTTGCTTTTTTCCTCAGTACTAAGGATATTCGAGATTGAGATTTCATTACCTAGTTTAGTACTAGAAGCTATAAAAAAACTTATCATTGAAAAGCTTCCTTGGTTTATTTGAACGTAAAAAAAACATTTAACTGAAGTTTTTTTTATTTTCTCCAGCATTTTTCGCACAGTTGACACAGCAGTTGACATTTATTTAAAATTAAGATCTATTCGCCTATCTCCAATGGCTGCAAATTTGTCTATAACATCGTCGTAAAATTTTGGATTTTCTGATAACTGTTTAACAAGCTGTTTATCAAATTTTAGGGCTAAATTAGAGAATCTGTCTTCACCTGTTGAATTTCGTATAAAACTTTTAATGCGCTTTAAAGCTGAAAAACTTCGCTCAGCTGACGCACTTGTGGCTGGAATGGTTAGTACTAATTCACACAACTTGACGACTTCACAAAGGGACTTATTTAAACCAGTTTGTATAAGAAAATTTAACACATTGATGGGCGTCTTTTTATCAATAATTTCAGTTGTTTGATAAACAACACTTAACTGGCATTTTAATGCTGGAATATCGAAAAAATTGACATAATTTAATTTTAGTGAATTAAAAGCTTCCGATGGAAATTTTGATGAATCGTAGTTACTAATATTAAAATTGCACAATGAGCAATGTTCACATGTGAGATATGCTGTTTTATAAATTATATTGTAATAGTTAGTCGCTATACAAGTTATTCTAAATAGTCAGTTCGTTAAAAAAGCCAAAAGTTTTTAAATTAAGCCAAATTGAAATTTAAAATTTGAAATTATACGTCATCGGGAATAGACCAATCATCCTGTGTCGAAGTTTTTTTTGTTATACAAAACCCAGCCAACGAACAAACCGACACACAGAATGTCGAAGTGAACGCACATCTAAGTGACATTAAAATTGACACCACCTAACACCTCTAACCTTAGTTTTTTGTTTTGGTTTAATTTTATTATTAATATGAATCAGCTGGATTTATAAAAGTTGAATCAAGTGTTTTACCCATTGTAAACGAAAATATGATTAGCGAGATGATTACTGCATTTTTTAACAATACTTAGTTTACAAAAGTCAGAAAGGTAAGACTTTGTTTTAATAGTAGGTAGTTACAGTTTATATGGAGCAATACACCTTATAGTAAAACATATTTATCTCAGGTTTTATTTTTAGATTTGCCAAGCAAGCATATGGGGATAATTTCTTTTTCCATAAGAGAGAAGGAGACAAATTAGACCTAAACATAAAGTACGGCAAAAACCTTCTGATGTGGTTGTTGTAATTAAAGAAAATGAAATTTTTAGTGCACAATGCTTAGGATATGCTGCATGTCAAGGTTTGTAATATTTATTATGCTTTTTTGTTTTTATATTACATATAATAAACAGTGTATAAGGCCCTTTATTCCTATAAATATTTTTTTCTAATTTTGACATATAGACATTTTTTGTAATCGCAGCAAGTGTTAAAATAATCTAGAAATAGATTTTGTTAGTGAACCTAGTAATAATTATGATACCAAAGAATGCTGCAGAGCACCTATGAAATTTTGAGTTAAAAAATATGCCATATTTTTAGGCTATTTTTATACCCTTTTCAAAAATTTTATGCTCCTCGTTTTTTGCAAAACTTAAAATGCTCTGATAGTTTCGAACGAAGTCAGCAAAGCACCTCTGTTTTATAAAGTTTTTTCTGTAAAAACAGCAACACCATATATTTATGCACTTGAAATATTATATTTTAAAAAAATACATGGTGCTTGCTAACCTTCGAAAGAAGCCAGCAGAGCAATTCGGTTTTTTAAAGATTTTTTCTAAAAACCACACCCCATTTTTAGAATATTTTTAGACTCTTGAAATATTGTAAAACTTTACTAAAAAAATTGCTATTTTTAAATAATACAGGGTGCTTTGTTGGAACAAAGTCAGCAGGACACTTCAGTTTTTTAATTTGTTTTTTTTTATATATAAAAACAACTACTTATGTTTAGGCTGTTTTAAAATCCTAAAAATGTGGTAAGTACATTTGTTTTCAGAAAAAAAACTTTGAAGTCAGCAAGGAATTGCGAATTTTTTTTTAAAATGCCAAATTTCGAATATTTTATAATATTGTAGGAGCCAAAAAACGTGGTGTGGTTTAAAAAAAAACTGGGGTGCTCTGCTGGATTCGTTTGAAGCTAACAAAGCATCCCGTAATTTTTTATTTTATAATACTCAATAGCCTAAAATGAGACATAGCTGTTTAAACAAAAAATTGTACTTTTAAAAATAGCAATTTCTCCGTTTTTAAAGCTACTATCAATAAAGATATTACTTTAGCTTGACCTATGATCAATTTTTAATTTTGTGATATATTTGGTTCGACAGAAAAAAAATTATAACCCTTTGACATTGGTTGTTTTTACTTAGATTTTCATAAAAAATAAACGGAACTGCAAACATGTTTTACTATCGTAATAACGAGTAGCAACATTAAATTTTTTTTTTCACATTTATCACTGTTGTCATTTTCATAAAGGATTGATAAGAAGGCACACTTTCTGGTTTTTTGAAAAAGGTGGCAAGAATTGTGATATTTTTAAATTTATCACCAGTGATACCACATGTAGTTACCCGATTTATTGGAATATATAGACTTTGCTACCACATTCAACTGAACTTGGTTGTTTTTAATATTTATCACTGTGACATAGGCGTTTTTGTCAAAATGTTTCATTTTAAACTGCTGTAAATAGGTGCCTTTGTTTTGGTAGTTTTAGTCCCAAAAAAATCTATGCATATACAGGTACTCATTCATCTTTGATTTGCTCGAAAAGTTAAAATTTTATAAAAAATTACATTGGCTGTTTAAAAACTCATTATAATCCCTGAAATGTGATAATTAGGTAAATTAAATTAAAAAACAAACAAAAAAGTTTATTAAATTAATATTTACTCTTACAAAATAGGTTCTTGTAAGTTAACAAGCAATTATGTAGATATTACTAAGTAAATGTACTTGCTTAAATTTCACACACGAATGTGGTTTTAACATGTTAAATTAACTAACCCTTCTTATAACTCTTTCCACATGTATTCTTAGAGATGCTATTCTTTTACTTAATTGTACATCTTCTGGAGAACTTTTTTCATTCTGTGATACACTAGGTGTGGCTTTACTAAAGTGCATCCCATGTTTTCAAGTAGCTGAATATTCTGAAACCCCTATCTGCCATTAATGGGATCCAGGAACCAGTTTGTTTAAATACCCACATTTTTCTATTATTTCTTTATTACTAGTTCTTCCACAAAATGATGAATAAATTCGGTATCTTCAAAACTTTCAGGAGATTCTGCATTTTCTTCCAGAAGGGTTTTTAGGTTATACACCTAAGAATTTATAGTAGCCTCATTTTCAATTTCCTGAAGGGGACAATTAGCAGAAATTTCTGCTACATGTTGATAATCCGGTGTATTTTTATTAAAAAGTTCACGAGAAACATCGCTAGTAGAAGGTTGATTTTCTTCTTTCCAAATTTCTAGGAACACTAATAAATATTTTTGAAGATGAATGTGAATCATTATCACATTCTGGAACAAAACACTTTTTCGTAGTCATAATATTTATAAAAAGTACAAAATTAAACCTCAAATTCCAAATAAATTCTTGATCGAGACACTATGATGACAGATGCCATACACAGTGCTGCCATTTTGCCATTTTCTGAATTATTAAGTGACTTTTAAAACAATAAAACTTTAAATATGGTAAAAGTTTAAACAGAAATAATACTTTCAAAAAACATTTGATATTATATATTTAAAAGATATTTATTTAACGATGTTTTGGAAGTCTAAAAGTAAGGAGTACACAAACGAACGTACATCACTTCTCGTATACCTTCTAGCCGGCAACGTTTTGCGCTAGCTCCTATTGGTCTATTCCCGGTGACGTCATAAATTTTAACTCCGGCAAATGAATAGATAAAAAAAAATAAAAAAAATGTAGTTTTATTTTCAACTCTATTATTAATAAAAAAAATTTCAAAATTTTTGAACATGCCCCATTCAACAAATTTTAATTCGTTGAAGTTTTGAAATGGAGAGTTCATTTGTTGTAGAATATTATCAAAAATTTCGGCATATAATCGACGGTGTCTCTCTGTCGCCGACATTATCAATTCTAATTATCTTTCTTTCAGGTTCTAAGCCAATGTCTTATTCCAAAAGTGTTCAAACTGATCTCGTTTCTTATTCATTTTATTTTTAAAATCATCAATTTGTTTAATGCAAAAGCCAATGTCATTTGACTTTATCTGTAAAATGTCGAATAAAATGTCAGTAAAAGGAAAAATCTCTGCAAGAATGTTAAGCAAAAAATTGAAATCAAAGTTTTGTTTGAGCCAATGCAAATACCCTTTAGCAGTAGTAACAGTTTCAGCATCCCATGTTTCTTTATTATCTCAAACGTCTTGAAAAAAGTTTATCAAAGAATCACGGTATTGAAACACTGTTTGCACTAAACGTTCATTGTAGTTCCATCGCGTCGGAGCAACTTTTGGAAACCTTCTTTGAACGTGAACGTCCAAAGCGCGAGTTCTTTTCGATGACTTTGAAAAGAAGGAAGGACACCAAGCGTCGAAAAGAAAACATTGCAATCTTTAATATTATCCATGCTTCGCGATCAAATCAAATTAAGTCTATGTGCTATACAGTGAACGAAAATTGCATGTTTAAACTTTTCTTTCACTTTAGCTTGAAGACTTCCTAAATGGCCAGCCATTACGGCAGCACCATCGTAGCTCTGGGCAACAAGGTTAGAACCACATTCTAAACTTGAAATAATGTCACAAACAATTTTAAACAATGCATCTGCAGTTCGTTCGCTAGTGACGTCCAAAAATCCTAAGAATCTATAGCAAAAATGATCTGGATTGTTCAAACAACGTCTCCTTGAACTACTCATGACGCAAAAACTTTAGATACTAATCTTAACATATCATACGCTTAAATGATAAACATCAAAAACAAAGTAACTCGAGCTGCTCAAAAAATGTTGAGGTTAGATTTGACAAAAACAAGTCATAAGTGAACATTATCAACTACAGAATTCGCGGCAACAGACAAAAAGTTAAATTTTGTAAACTAGTGTTATGTATTTTCTAAAAAAATTCGAATGGAATGATATAACAGCCGGTCATTACTCTAAATCGTTCTAGCCTCTAGCCCATTATAAACATTTTTACTGTTATAGGATGATCGCTATTAAAAAGTAGTTTTGTTTCAAAATATGGTTCAAATAAAAATATAAATACTATTATTTATGATTATTTATCGATTCTACACAAAAATAACTCATTTTAATGTATATTTAATCTTAATAATTAAAAAATATACTGACAAATATAGTTTGACAGGATTGTCACTTATTTAAAATTTAAAAATAATAGTAGTAGTAGTTGAGTCTCCAAAATATAAACTGTAATTGGTGGATTTCATTTTTTTTGCAATAGTAGAACATACTACTTAGAATTGATATGAAATATATTCGTTCAGTTGAAGGAAATTACATACTTTTTCGTTTTTTAGTCTGTGCGCTAATATCCATGTGGGTGTAGAAAAAAGTATTTACTATTTAGGATAACATAAAAAGAACGAAATGTTTCATTTTACCTGTAGATGATCTAGAAGCGTTTCCAATCCTCTGTCGGTAATGCTGGAACATCTCAGGCTTAGAGTATGTATATGTTTTGAAGCTAAGGGAAATGTATTAACTAAATCCATGGCATCTTCGTCCGAAGCGCCCATCAAGGATAAACTGTGGAAACCTCTTCGCAATAGCGATGCGTACAATCTGAAATTTTTTTACTTTTAGAATAACGCTAGAAAATTTGTTTCTTAATTTTCACTTTTTAACAGACTTGTCAGATGTTTTTATTCATATTCAGCGATAATTCTTTACCACGTTGTCCAATGTCTATGATTATTTTTTTGCTAGAAAGAAGATACCTCAGGGGTGGTACATATAAATTTGGTTATGATCTGATGATGGGATCGATGAAAAATCATTAAACTTTTCTATTTGCAGAGGAATCTGCACGATTTTAGAGTTTGTTTTTAAAATTACTTTTATGTTTCCCCAAGTTTTATTTTCTTAAAACATAAAACAGTTGTTTTCATTTCTCCAAAAAGTAACGATTTATAGGTACTGTAGTTGTTGGCGAGATAGAAAGATCCCTGGACAATTTTCAGAACCACAATTTGTTTTTAATTATTTAAATGCAGCTACTAGTTTTAAGAAATTTCTGTAAATAACAATACATAATGTTGTTTTGTTAATACGGATTAAAGTTTCATTTCCTTAAAAAATGCAATTCAATGACCTAAAACACCGACATAATTAATACATATTAAAATCAAAATAATTGTGCTTCATGTTTAACTTAAAATATCTCGAAAAATAACGACTTTGTCGCTATGGACAGTACAATTGATACGTATAAAGTATTGAAGAATAGAAAAATTGTGATAAAATTGCAATTCCGCCAGTGGCGTAGAATTTGGGAAGGATCAAAGTCACTTGCCAGTAGATAGACAAAGCCGATATGGGACCACATTGGGAATTCAATGTGTAAGAGTGAGAGGTACAAATTCAGTAATTCATAATACATCATAGATATTAAACAACTTATCCTAACAATATGTGGAGTTTTTACAGGATATGTAACCGCAAGAAATGATAATATTGCTCTGCTTTGAACAACGTCTCATTGATAGTTGTTATTCTTGACTATAGTAAATGATTTTAGCCTTAGATTAAAGAAACAAATTTTAGCCTATTTTATTAATGTTTTGATTACCTATATTAATTTTTATGCTTTTACCTACGTCTTATTTATAATTATTGATAGTAGATTAGATTAGATTTAATTAGGACTATGGGCCATGTGGCCTCCCCCACCTCGACCTTTTCAGATCTATTGTGGATATCCTTTAATCATTGTTTAGAGTACCTTGTCTAATGCGGTCTTTTGTAGTAGACTCCATAGACTGGGAAGTAGTTCTCCGGTATAGCTAGTTGCCCTTGGTTTTTCTTCTCCAAGTGTAAGGAATCTCAGTCTTACTAGACCTTCGCAGTAGCACAATACGTGTTCTGTCGTTTCCTCTTCTTCTTGACAGAATCGGCACAAGGCTTCTTCTGTCAGACCGATATTGAACATATGTTTGTTAAGCCTACAATGCCCTGTTAATAGACCTACTAGTATTCTAGTATTTTTCCTATTAAGGCTTAGTAGATCCTCGGTGAGTTTAGACGATGGTCCTTTTAAGAACTTTTTGGCCTGTCTCTGTCCTGGTGAGTTTTCTCACCACTCCTGAGATTTTTTAAACATCCACTGCTTTGTGCATGTTCTGATAGTTGTTTTTGTTACACCACAGAAGGGTTCTGGGCCAATAAGAGCATTTGATGCTCCTTCTCGGGCTAGTAAATCAGCCTCTTCATTGCCTTTGTGTCCCCTGTGGCCTGGTTCCCAGGCTAAGGTTAGTCTGTTTTGACTACCCAGCTCTGTTAGGGCTTCCAAACAGTCCCACACAAGCTTTGAGTGTACCTGCATGGAACTGAGTGCTTTTAACGTCGCTTGACTGTCTGAGTATATGACAATGGTTTTTCCATTTACCTTCTGTGTTAATACTTCTTTTGCGCAGTGATGTATTGCTGCTATTTCTGCCTGGAATACTGTCGCATGTTTACCTAAGCTCAGTGAGATTCCTGTCTTTGGCTTGGTACTATATATACCTACTCCTGAACCTTCATGGGTTTTGGAGCCGTCTGTATACCAGGTGAGATCTCCACGCTTCCCTGTCTGGTATACTTACTTTATATTGCTTTTGAAAGCTATACTTTGGAAGCATTTCGTCTGAAGGCATTCCCATTATTTGGTCGTTCTCCAACTCTTTATATAGCTCGCTGTAGTCGCGTCCATGCAAACTGCTTATGGGCGATGAACCTTTGTGCAGTCTGTATGTGACAGACCTGGCTTCGCCTTGAATGAATATATGTAGTGGTGTTAGGTTTAGCATGACTTCTATAGCTGCTGTTGGAGTCGTTCTCATAGCTCCCGTGGTACTCAGGCATGCTTGTCTTTGAATACCATTGAGCTGTCGAATGGCTCCAGCTTGCCTAGTCTTTGGCCACCATACCACCGACCCGTAGGTTATCATCGGTCTTATGACTCTGATTATTGATAGTAAATGATTGTAAAAGGTAAAACTGTAGAAATAATATCCACTATATAGCTACTACGATATTTTATTAACATCCGTTGGTTTTGTATATATATTTTCATCACTAAATGTATGCGGTTATTGACACGGATAAAATGTTTCTAACAATACTTAAGAATTGACCAGAAATACCTTGAAATATTATTTTACAAAATTATGATGTAATATTATTTTTTCAATTTTTTTTTATATTTGTAGATTTACAAACTGATAACGAAACTCGTATATGGCTCTCATCTTGGATCCTGTGGATCTTCGACTGTCTGCCTAAAGATATCTTTTTTTTGCTTCCCCTTCCTATCATTTTGACAGCTGCAACGCATTGTTTACTTGCTCATCGGTGTAATGCCAATTGAATTTGTACGAATTTCTATGATTTTATCTATTCGTCTGACCAAATGTCTGCCTCCTCCTTCCATTTGTCTGTCTTTCAGTCTGTCTCACTCTGTCTTTGTTAATATCTAATTCCTGGTGACATGACGCCGAGCTGTATACAGGGTGTTCAAATTAAAGTCAAATACCGCCGAAAATATGCATTTTAGAAAAAAAGTTTCAGACAAAAGTTTTATAGTTTTTTGGGGGAAACATTTTGGCTAAATTCATTTTTTTGTAGCTGACCATAATATGGTCGAGGTGGACTTTGTTTTTTTAAATGGGAATCCCATTTTTTTCTTACATATTCTTAAAGTACATAAAAAAATAAGAAACTTTTGAGGAAAATATTTTTTTTATTGGCCTTTTACTTTTTGAGTAACAGCTACTTGAAAATGTTGCTGCGTGAAAAAAAAGTTGGCCATATTATGGTTAGCTATAAAAAACGATTTTAGCCAAAAGTTTTTCCCCATAAAACTATAAAACTTTCGTCTGAAACGTTTTTTTATTTATAAAAAGCGGTATATAGCTGTAACGCTTTAAGTTGAACACCCGGTATATACATTGTAATAAAACACTTAATGTATATTCCCTTTTTAAAGTTAATCTATTTATAGCAATAAATAATCATCGAATAAATATTATTCGATTATTTTGCAAATCTGTATGTAAACGTTTTCGATACCTTCTATACTGCCCCTTTGGTAGAAACGAAAAGTCAAACAAAAAATCAAACGAAATGTCAAACAGCAAACAAAAACGCCAAACTGCAAACGAAAACGTAATGCGAAACGTCAAACGAACCGTCGAACGTCAAAATAAAACGTCATGCGAAACGTCAATCGAAAACGTCAAACGAAAACGTTAAACGAAAACGTTAAACGTCAAACGAAACGTCAAACGAAACATCAAACGACACGTCAAACGAAACGTCAAATGAAACGTCAAACGAAACGTCGATTTTTCTCTTTAACGTTCATCTATACCATGTTTTCAACATAATGTTGTTTTTCCTGTTTGAATCGGACCAGTAATATCCGAGAAACAGGCTTAGGCCCTTTTGGCAATCGCAGGATTTTTCTCTTCAACGTTAATCGTTCTCTACATAATGCTATTTTTTCCATTTAAATCTGACCAACAATAACAAAGATATAAGCTTTAAGCCCTTTTGACCTGTCACTGAGCATGTTAATCTATACCACGTTCTCTACGTAATACCATTTTTCCCGTTTCAATCTGGCTGGTAATATCCGAAAAACACGCTTAGGCCTTTCTGGCTTTCGTTCGGCGCAGGGTTTTTCTTTTCAACGTTAATGCCGTTTTTCCTGTTTAAATCGGACTAACAGTAACAAAGATACACGCTAAGGCCCTTCTGACTTTTCGTTCTGCGCATTTTTTTCTCTTGAACGTTTGTCTATACCACGTTCCCTACATAATTCCGTTTTTCCCGTTTGAATCTGACCAATAGCAATAAAGATACACCTTAAGGCCCTTCTAACTTTTCGTTCTGCGCATGTTCTTTTTTGTTCAACGTTAATCTATACTACGTTCTCTACATAATGTCGTTTTTCCCGTTTGAATCGGACCAATAGCAATAAAGATACACTCTGTCTCACTCTTACCTACTGAATTTGTACCTTTCACTCTTACACATTGAATTCCCTATGTGGTCCCGTACCGGCTTTGTCTATCTACACTTGCCCGTGCTGTACGCCTCTGGTAATAGCCAGAAACGTTTATTTAACATAATTTAGTAGAGTGTATAGTACCTACACTTCCAGCCAAATATGACAATTGTTGTATTTCCACTAACAAACCATAAAAATACTAATAAAGTGTTTAACATTTAATTCCAAAACATGACAATGAAATAAGTAAAATCTATCAGTGACAAAACTAAAAAATATGTACAGCGTCTTCCAACAACAATAATACGTCAAATAGTTTATTTGACTACTGGACACAAATAATTTTTATATTTTTAAATAAAACGCCCTGTATACCCAGGCAGAAGATACAAATCGCAAATACAAATTACAAAAACAAAATCCTACTAAAAACAAACAAATCTCCTACTTATAGGTGACAAATGACAGGAGCGACAAAATTAATTTGAAACGCAAATAGTTGAAATATTTCGAATGAAACACCTTGTACAGTATGCGAGTCTTCAGCCGACACTGGAATGTCCTTTTACCCTTAGTGTATTTAACTATGTCAGACTCCCAAGAGACTTTTTGTTATTCAATTCAAATACTAGAGGTGAAATTATAATCCATTCAAAACCACGTAAACAACTCAATAAATTTAACTTGATGAAAAGTTACATACCTCGCCCTTTCATTTCCTTGGGTGCCGCGCATTTCTCGGCATTGCAGAACTGGCACGAGCCCAGACCAATATCGCGGGGACCTGTACAAGATATCTCTCCATCGAGTGCAGACCTGTTAACAAAAATAGTAAAATTATAACAATATTTTATTATCACTGTGAGGTAATTTGTGTTTTACTGACATTTAACTTTTAATAGAAATAAACCCCAAGTAACACAAAAAGTTATATAAGGGTTTCTTAAAACTCAACAACTTACATAATATTCTAATACACTATACTGTCATTATATATTATTATGCGACTTTTGGTATACGTTTTACAGTAGTTGTTATAAACTCCAGTTATAACTTTATAAAAAGATAATGTTATTAGGTATAATTACAAATGGATATAAAAACGTTGTTAAGAGTTGTAATGTCATGATATAATTTGGTTTTATCTATAAATTATTATTTATATATCTAATTAAGACCAATAGGTATAAACATTATAGAGTTATTTCTTACAAAATGACATTACATCATAAATATCTCACTAACACCAACTAGGTAAACCTTAATATTAAACTTACATTTTGTCTAAAAAGTTGATGTAATCTACCTAAATTCTCTGACGAAACAAATTTTATGGAGTAACATTTAATTTTAGTTTGTAAAAATTTATGCGCCTTATCATTTTCCTAAAATAATGGTTTTAAAATTTGTTTGAAAAATAAAAAAAAAAACTTTAAAAATATTTCAAAATAATTGTTATTTTAAATAAAAACATATTAATGTAACCTTATTTTGTCTACATATTGCAATTATAATGCAGAATGAGATCCAAATTTCATTTTTTGTTTATTTTTTGCCAACATGGCTTTTATGTGAACAATATATAATAATAAAAATAATAAATAATAATAACGTTTATTTAGGAGTAGAATAATTTACATTTTTTTTATCATATATAAAACAAACTAAATAAACAGAACATATTGTTCAAATACATGACACTAATTTAAAATGTTTCATCTGTGTAATTTCAGATTTTAAAGAAATTTCAGTAACCATATTGTTATAAATTGGTAATTTGTGTTTATAACTGGTAAACGGAACGATATAGGTTTTGTTGTAGTTAACCGTAAGCATTTTGTGTTTAAATATGTCAAATATTTTTTTACATTAGTTTCTATTTTATTTTTTAAATTTTCCCACGTTTTGTCACTATATATTACAGCAATGTCGTCTGCAAAACCAATTACCTTTCCCGAGGAGTTAAAAGAAAATATATCATTAATGTACAAATTGAAGAGAATTTGTCTCAGTATGGTATCTTGAGGAACTCCAAACGATACAACTTTTTCTCTACTAAGTTCTCCATTTACCCTAACATGTTGTTTTCGGTTAGTTAGTAGTCTTCGAAAAATTTGTATGGGAGTCCCCGTATCCCTGCATCATCTAAGACGTCTAACAACTGCGAATTACTCACAGTATCAAACTCCTTAGCTAAGTCAAGGAATAGTACTGCTGTTGGTTCGGTTGTATCAATGGAGTTATATATTGAGGAAATCAAGGTCTTAATTGCATCATTTGTTGATATTCCTTTCTGAAATCCATATTGTCGCTCTGACATTAATTTATGTTTGTCTATGACAGTGGTCGCCAACCTGTCGATCGCGAGCTACCGGTAGCTCGCGGAGGCAATTCTGGTAGCTCTCACAACGATTTTAATTTAAAAAATACAAACTGCAAAAATCAGAGAAGCTTCCGAAAATTCCACAAAAAAATCTAATTGTCATAATATTTAAACATAAACAACGGCAACGTTGCGGTGAGCGATCTGCCGCTGACGCCATCAAGCTAGAATCGGCTAGAACCGACCAGCCGGACCAGCGCGTTAGTGTTCGAGAACGATCAGGATTGCTTTGAACGGGATAAATACGCGCGGCGCGGCCACATTGCGCTTAGTTTAAAACTGAACGCGTAACCAACGTCCAGCGGTTGGGTTAGTAGAGAACAACAAAAAATAATATTATGGCAAGCAGTTGTAAGAAGGTAAAGACATACCACTTTCATTCGGAAAGGGAAGAACAATACTTTTTTACAGAAGTTAAAGATAAAAATGTGTGTCTGTTATGTAATACTTCGGTCTCCGTTGCTAAAAAAAGAAATATTGAGAGACATCATAAAACTGTACATTCTAATTTTGAAAAATCATTCCCACTACATTCTGCCGCCAGAAAGGAGAAACTGAAACAGTTAAAAAAGCAGTTAATTGGACAACAATCAATATTTTTAAGAACAGTCGACAAAAATAAGGCTGCAACTGAAGCATCGTACCGTGTGTCCCAGATAATTGCACAAAAAAAGAAACCTTATGAAGACGGGGAAATGATAAAACAGGCGTTTTTAGAAGCTGCTGATTCGTTATTTGCCAACTTTAGAAATAAAGACGAGATAGTTTCAGCTATAAAATCTATGCAACTTTCTGCTAATACAATGATGAGACGTGTAGAAGTAATGAGCAATGATATTTTTTTACAGTTAAGAACTGACTTAGATAACTGTGTTTATTTTTCACTTCAACTGGATGAATCAACAGATGTCGTTGACACTGCCCAGATGGCTGTGTTCGTCAGGATGGTTTTTAGCGATTTTACGATTAAAGAAGATCTTTTGAAGTTTATTCCACTGAAAGGACATACTACTGGACAGGAGTTGTTTTCTCATTTAAAATATATTATTTCTTCCGAGAAAATTCCAATATCGAAAATGGTAGGCTTGACAACCGATGTCGCTCCAGCTATGGTGGGTTGTGATAAGGGTCTGGTGGCGTTATGTCGTAAAGATGAAACTTCCGCAATTTCTCTGTTACCACTGCATTATCCATCAGCAAGCATTATGTGGAAATTTCCTGAAACTAAACAACGTTATGAAACTGGTGGTAAAAATTGTGAACAAGATTAGAGCTCAAGCGTTACAAAGAAGATTATTCAAAACCTTGGCCGATGAAGTTGACTGTCAATACGGGGACCTACTCCTTCACTCTGAATTCCGATGGTTAAGTAGAGGACGGGTGCTGAAACGTTTTAATGATGTCCTATCTGGCATAGTTCAATTTTTCAAACAACGCGATGAACCAACTCCGGAACTAGAAAATTCAATCTGGCTTAGAGATTTTGGTTTTCTCGTGGACATTACGGAGAAATAAAACGAACTTAATTTGCAACTTCAGGGGAAAGACAAAGAACTAGCGGAAATGATTTCTGATATAAAAGCATTTATCAAAAAGCTGGAGTTTTGGGAACAAAACCTAATTAACAGTGATGCCAAGCATTTTCCTATTCTTTCAGAAAAAATATCTCAAAATCCATTAGAACCCTATGACAGCAAATATCATGTAGAAATAGTTTCTACTCTGAAGAATAACTTAAAAAATCGTTTTAAGGATTTCAACGAAATGGATTAGTAGCGTAGTTTGTTGTTTCACCCTTTATGGAAATTGATATCCAACAGTTTGCAGCTTGTGTTATGCAGAACTTTGGCGAAGACATCGCTGCAACAGAAATGGAAGTAATTGAGTTTCAAAATGATTTAGCCTTAAGGCCAAGTTCAATGTCAAGTGACGGCGACTTTTTTATCACAAGAAATACAGCTCTGAACGATAATATTAAAAAAAACTGTTTTCATAAATGGGTTCAAAAAACTGTACAAAATGATGGAAAGTCTATGGTTTGTTTTACTTTTAATGCATAATATTTTAATAAGTGATATTTAACAAATATTTAAAAGTTATGGACTTTCCATCATTTTTTATAGTATTTAGAAGTTAAAACGCAGCATACATTCTTTTATTTTTGCCTAATTATTTCAGGATTCTTGTGATAAGATTTAAAAATGTAGGGCCCATAAGATGCTGCCATCTGAACAGACGGAATAGACACTAAAAATTGAAAAATTGCAACATCGCTCCCTATGCAGACGAATGTAAAATGGCTTAGCCCAATTTGACCATGTTTATGGGTGAGGGGCGAGGTGGTGTGCGGGGAAAGGTTGCAAGTAAATAAATTATTCTATAAATGCTATTTTCTGTTTGGAACACAACACAAGCATGTTTGTTTTGAAAGTTTGACGTTTATGGTTTGACGTGTCATTTCAATTTAGTGGACTTTAATAATTTAAAAGATGCAATGTACTTATATTATTTATATATATTATTGTAGATCCAGGTATGTTTTCGGTTTTTATTTTATTTATTTGGCTAGTTTGCTAATATCACAATATTCAAATTTAGTAAAAAATAATGTAATAATAAAACAATTATTTTAATAACATTCTAAATAGGAAATGTAATTTAACTGCAATTGTTTTGATAACAGTATTTGCATATGGTCTGTGAATTTCATCTGTTTCCGAATAATTACCCTTAAATATTTGAATTTCTACTTACTGTATAGATTTTCTTCCAATTTCCTATATTGTTTGTCCACAAACTGCATATAGTTATTACTTATCAGCTTATATTTTGTTTTAGGTATTTGTGTTGATTTTTAACAAATGATTGCAACATCATTTATAAACATTTTGCAGAGTTTCATTGACAATTAACTCTTAGTTATCTGAATCCTTACAACTTACAAGAAACATAAGGTGCGTTTTATTCATCCATTCTCTAGTAGAAAAAGTTTGAACAGAATTTGCAAACGCAATAAAACGATAAAATTGTCATCTGTCAAGAATGTCAAATTTAAAATCATCGTTTGATTTATCCATTATCCCCTTCGAATTATCCCGCCCACAGATATAGTTATTAGTTAATATTAATTTAAAAATGGAAATATTACAGATATTTCGAAATATTGCAACTTAATAATCATTTGCTATTAGCTGCACCAAGAATTCCAGTTGACATTAGATTAATTATCGAGAAGTATGAAGTATAAAATTATTTTGTAATATTTTTAATAATTCAAAATATTTACTTCTAGTATGACCAATGATGTTATAGCGAAATCTCAATTTGTTACATACATGTAAACAATAAATAAAATATGCTGTCTTTGTTGAACCAGAAATATTGTCCACTTTCATCCTGTACAATTTCTTCCATATTTTACAACCTGTATCAG